AACATCAATCGGTTGATAAATATGAAAAGTACACACCAATGTCTAGTTTCCTGGAGTGTGTCTGCGTTGTCACTTTGAGGTGCCCTACTAGGTCAACTTGTGTCTGTGTTGTCACTTTGAGGTGCTCTACTAAGTCACCTTGTGTGTGCGTTGTCACTTTGAGGTGCTCTACTAAGTCACCTTGTGTCTGCATTGTCACTTTGAGGTGCTCTACTAAGTTACCTTGTGTCTGCATTGTCACTTTGAGGTGCTCTACTAAGTCACCTTGTGTCTGCATTGTCACTTTGAGGTGCTCTACTAAGTCACCTTGTGTCTGCATTGTCACTTTGAGGTGCTCTACTAAGTCACCTTGTGTCTGCATTGTCACTTTGAGGTGCTCTACTAAGTCACCTTGTGTCTGCATTGTCACTTTGAGGTGCTCTACTAAGTCACCTTGTGTCTGCATTGTCACTTTGAGGTGGCATACTAAGTCGCCTTGTGTCTGCGTTGTCACTTTGAGGTGCTCTACTACAGTGTAGGTCACCTTGTGTCTGCGTCTTCACTTTGAGGTGCCCTACTAGGTCACTTTGTGTCTGCGTTGTCACTTTGAGGTGCCCTACTAGGTCACTTTGTGTCTGCCCTGTTTTCACTTGAATGCTATGTGTCACTAGGCAGATTTTATGCCAAGTAAGAAAAGTTGTTCAATGTAATTTTCTCAAATATAAAAAGCCATAAGATGTGTACTTAAAATAAATTTGATACATTTTACACAGTGTGGCTTTCATGAGAACAGAGCAACACGCCAAGTCATGACATAGTTGAGGCAACACTAACACACTCCAGTGATGCATACAATGATTTCTTTTTGCACATTAATGCAATATATATAATTGTGGATGCATTTTGAATATCATTGAATAATTATAACAAAATAGCACATTGCTTTACATCTGTTGATTTCAGTATTTGTAAAAGCACAATTCATTAATATTTTAGGATTTACTAAATTTACTGTTCAGGTATAATAATGTAAAATCAGAGTCCATTATAAGAAATCAATGCACAATAAAGACAAGTTTTGCTGTATACTGTAACCATGCAATGGTATGATATCTTACATGTTGTGGGGAGTCTACAAGGCTTGTTGTAGTCACTCCACTGTTAGCTCTAGTTAGGAATTCAGCAGTTCGACCACTGGATGCAGAAAAAACAAATTAGTAGAAAATTTAAATATTGGATTTACAATTGACAGTAAAGTTTTGTTTTGATATGAATATATAGCATTTAAATTAATCCAGTCATTGAGGCATATTGTAATTTGGATGAAAAACTATTGGCTTCACACCACAATTATTATCTGAATCAAGAGATGGAATTAACAATGAATGTAATATGTAAGGGATGAAATGCTTGCATTTCAAACTTACAGACTTATATGTTTGAAGTAATCTCTAATGGAACAGTTGCAAGACAAGGTTCAGTTAATCTGCAAGTTATAAGTACAGTATCAGGAAAGACAAGAACTTTTTGATTTGTATACTTGTCATAATTTCTGCTTCATGCAGTTTAATCAGCGCCCTCTATAAATTTGATCGTTTATAAACTGCTGCCAATTATTGCACTAATCTGTTGGTGATCCGCTCCGCTAGGATTGCCCTTATAATCACTTTTGTCGTTTTGTGTGTGTGTGTGTCTGTGTGTGTACATTTCCAGTGTTCACTATTATTTCTTCTGTGATTTTTTTGGCTTGGCCGATTTCGTTCAAACTTGGCAGGTAGGTCACACCTTAACCCTAGTTATAAGGAAAAATCTGAAAAATTGTTTTGGCCCACCGTTGCCATAGCAACAGCCAAAAAACTGATTTTTGGATAGCTTCGCGCCAAATGTATCTCCTCCTACAAATTTGGGATAAAACACTTCAGACATAGCTCATTCTACTCAGCTTGAGTGTGGGCACAAATTTACCATTTGAATTTTTGATATCTGTTTTCATTACCGAGAAATTTGACCCTAAAGTTATGGTAACTTTTCACCAGCAACGGCTTTTACCTCCTCTGTGATTGTTTCGGCCGGTTTTGTTCATACTTCACAGGTAGGTCGTGCCATCACTAATTGGAAAACAATCCTGGCCCACCATTGCCATTGCAACATCCAAAAACTGATTTTTGAATACTTTCGCCCCAAATGTATTACCTCCTACCAGTTTTATCGGTGTCGCTGGGTGTATATGATAAAGGGAAGTTGTGCAACCAAATTTGCCGAGTTCGCAGTTTTTCGCCAATAAAAAAATAACTAAAGCAACAACTCA